TCAAAGAATTCTCCCTGACCACTCTATCTAAAATGCTTTCCCCAGTCACTAACAGATCACCTTCTTTTTACATTTTTCTTTCATAGCACTTACAAGTCTGACATTATTGTTGATTTACATTTGCTCGTGTATCTTCCCTCCTAAGAGCAGGGACCTGATCTCCCTCGTGCTCCACAAAAGCCCCAGTGCCTAGAACAATATCTGGCACACAGCAAATACCCAGTATATTTTTGTTGAATGAATGAACCTCGAAGAGCCGGGCCTCCAGTCCTCCTAGGTGGGCGGATAGTGGAACCTTTCAGAGCTGCCTGCCCCAGGGACATGACTGCAAGGACGGTGGGGCACACCCCTACACTCACACCCCTGCTGGGCAACCAAGGGTGACCTGTATCTCAGGCTGCTCCAGCAAGAACCAGCGCAGAGGGTACGTGCGGGCTTGCATCATTTCCACCGGCACCGTGAACTGCTCGTCCAGGTGGAAGGAATCTCTCTGGGTGAGGCTCGGGTCAAACTTGCTCCTCCAGAAACCTGCAGCCAGGCAGAGGGCAGGGGCCTTGTAGACTGGGACCAGCGTGGGTTCTATACCCACAGCCTCTTGCTCATCCCACCCAGAACCCATTCAGGGGATGAGAGGTGGAGGCCGCGACCCCAGGTGGTGCAGTGCCAGTTGGCACCCAGTTGGTCTGAGGCATTCCCTGTAGCATTTTTGAAACCTGGGCTTGTATTTTCGCCATCCCCTGCATTGCTTCCAAGAACTCCCCCCTGGTTGTTTTCAGACTGTTTCTTCCCAGGGTACTCTCTCTACAACAACATTATCCACTTCCTGGGCTCCCCACCCACTGCACCCAGACAGCCCCATGCCTCACAGCCCAGCCTGAGGAGGACGAGGGACCTTGAGGTCAAGGCCTGCTCAGCCCAGCCCATCCTACGGGTGGGGGTGGGGGTGGGGCTGCCAGGGCAGAGGACGGTGAGGAGAGGAGCAGCGCACCCTGGAAGTGGATGGCATTGAGGAGAAGCAAAACCGTGTTATCTGGCAGCTCCGAGAGGAATTCCGGAATCTTCCCCTCCGTGGCTTCTTTCACCCATTGGTTGATGTTTGCCAGGTCCTCCTCCTGCCTTCCCGTCAGGCTCCTAGGCTTTGCACCAAAGAGCTGTTCTGATTGTTCCAGGAAATCCTCTTTGATGGGAAATCCTACGCACAGAGGGCCACAAGCTGTTCCCAGGGCTCAGGGCTCCACGGCCACCAATGCTGGCACTAGCTACGTCAGGCCAAGCCCATGTCCCTCACCATGCTCCACCCTGGGGAGGATACTACCTAGGGAGCTCCCTGCCGCCAGCACCTACCTTTCTGCACATACATTCTGGCAGCCAGTCGGAATGCCCCAGGGCCCAGGTTCTGGCAGAGGCTGCTCAGCAGGTGGGGGAGGCAGGGCCCTGACTCTGCATGCAGCACCTGCTGCAACCTCTGCAGCGTTTGGTTCTGAGCACCTAGAGGGGACCACATGTTCTTGCTCACCCCCACTGCCCACTCCTGGAAGCCTGCTATGAGCATGCCACAGGACCACATACGCTCCTCCCATATCCACTGAACTGGTCTGAGTGACAGGCCCCCCGAGTTCTACTTTCATCTCTGCTGCTGACAGGCTGGGTGACCTCACCTTATGCAAGTTGCCTTCCCTCTCTGGACCTCAGTTTCCCACAGTGGAACCCTCCAGTACAGTGGGAGATAGTGTAGCTATCAAACTCTTGCATAACAATCACCCGGAGAACTTGTAAATAAGCAGATCCACCAACCCAATCCCTGGGAATCAGATTCACAGAGACTGCATTTTTACCAAACATCCAAGGGACCCTGACGGAGGAGCTACCCGCTGATAACCTCTGGAGTAACGAGTTCCTACTGGCCTCCCAGCTCTGTTGGTCTGGACACATGCTGCCACAGTACCTAGTGCCAGGTGAGACAATGCCAGGGCAACACTGAGGGGCGACAGGATGAGGTTGGGGCAGGTGGATGTTTGGGCCACCAGGGAGAATAGGTCAACAGTGAAGGCCATCATGGCCTGGGCCAGCCTGCGGGTCTGCTCTGGGGTTGGGGCTCCCTTGCAGTATTCTGGGGAGGACGTCTTCAGGGCTGTCTGGCCACCAGACTCCTGCAGGAACAGATCAGGGTCAGTTAGGTCAAGGAGTCAGCTCCAGGCTCTGTGTTGAAGGTCTCCTTCATAGCCCCTGTGCCTGGGGACAGCGGGGCCTTGTCCCAGTCACACAATGGGCACCCTGGGCCTTTGTTCTGTTTCTATGGTCCTTCCCACTCCCTCCCTCTGGCTTGGGAACTCCAGAGCCTCAGCCTCAAGGTCACGCCCCCTGCCCGTGCCCCTGCGGATTGGCCCTCCTCCCTCTGGCCCCGCCCACTCTTCCCCAGCCCCACCTGGTTGTACCTGGTTGCCCAACTTGAGGAAGAAAAGAGGGGGCAGCTTCTCCTGGCTCTGCCCGTCAGTTAGCTGCGAAAAGGAGGAAGCAGATGGAGAGGGACCTTTCCCACAGGCCCCCACCCTGACCAAGCCGCAGGCGACACTCCTGGGACCTTCCTCCCCTTCACAGGCTCCTCCTCCCCGGTACCTGCTGGGCCACAGGCTCCACGGCGCCCACAGGAGAGAACTGTTGAGAAACGGATGAGGATGGGAGGGCCCCCCTCGGAGCCAACCCTCCCTCACCCCAGCGCTGCTCCTCCTCCCCTCGGACCGCGTCCTCTCCCACACCCGCTGCACTCCCTCCAGCGCCCCACGCGGCCTCTGCCCAGCCTCACCACCGAGCACGGGCCTTGCAGGCAGGACAAGCTGAGCACTAGGAGCCCCCGGAGCAGCGCCATGTTCCTGCGTGGGGGACAGGAAGCCTTAGTTCCCGCAGCCCCTGCGCGGGGCCAGGCCATGCCACCCACACGTTCACGGACACGGCCAGGTCCTGCGCCAGCGTGGCCAAGGAGAAAAAGGCGCTACAGACCCAGATCACACACCCGAAGCACATTAGCAGTGGTTCTCCTTTCTGAGGGGTGGGACTTCCCCCCATCTCGCCCTGCAACCGTCTGGTTTTTCACATTTCCTGCACTGAGGATTTTTTGGTTAATGGGGGGGAAACAAAAAAAGTCCTCATTCTTTAAGGCCTTGCACGGTGAGTCAGCCCTGGGTCTGAGTCCAGACTCTGCCTCTTGCCAAAGGACCTTGGGCATCTTCCCTAACCCCTTCAGGCTTTGTCTTATCTTGTAAAATGGTGGCAAAAGTCCCTACCTCCTCTCATGGGCATTGCGAGGACCAAAATAAGAGTCTTTGTAAACCCTAAAAACAATGCCTGGCACTCCATTGGTGGCTGCTGTCAGCCTGGCTCAAGGTCCCCTCCTCTGGGGAGCCTGCCCTGAAGCCTCTTCTGGAGAGCTCCCACACCAGAGCTCCTACGCAACCTGCTGTCCATTTGGCCAGCCTTTCTCAGGCTGGTCTGTCAGGCTTCATCCAAAAGGCTGGACAGGCCTGTGAGGCCCTGAGGTCTTAGCAAGGGTGGTGAGGTGACCAGAGAGCTGCCTTGTTGACCCAGCAGCAGAGCCCAGTGAGTGACTCTGGCTAGAGCCACCTTTGGACTTACTGGAATCACAGGCCTCAACCCCTACTCTGCCCCAGGAGGGCTCTGGGAAGCCAGGCTGGCAGGTGGGCATGGGCAAGTCTTGGTCTTGGGAGGATCTATCAGAGCAGGTCTCACACCCCACCCCCATCTCAGGGCCAATCCTTCTGGAGGATCCTTCTATCACCCCCGGCTCCACCCGCATTACACACAAAGAGCCCTTGGCCGGGGTCCTGAACTCCAACCTGGGTATTTGAATCTTTCTGGCAAGAAAAGGCCTCCAGTTTTTCAAGTCCCAGAGGGACTCTTCCTGAAGCCCCCATCTTGGCTCCTCACCATCCTGGGAGGCCAGAAACTACAGGCCTCCTGAATAAATCCAGTCCAGACCCCTCAGCCAGGCTGGGTAGCTTCCCCGCCTCTCCCCCTGCCCAAGGAACAGGCTGAGCCACCCCTCCACTCGTACCTCTGCAGGCTCCTTGCTGTGCACACCACGTTCCTCTGGCCCCACTTGGGTGCTCCCCACGCTCTGCCCGGGCTCCAGCCAGCCCAGCCTAGCCCTCCCCTCCCACCAGGACCTTTGCTCTTAGCCAACCCCTGTTCCGATTATTCAGATGGCTTTCTCTTCTGGTAAATATTGACCTCCATATCCGGTTAAACATTGATATTGGGACCAGAAGCCCCTTTCCTACCAGGACATCTAATCCTGAGGCAGCCACTCAGAACCCCCATGGATTTGGGTCCCACTTGAACCTGGAAAAAGAAAGCTCAGTAGGAGAGAGTTGAGGAGGCTGGGTCTGGCCAGCCAAGAGGGCAGATCCAGAAACCACAGGAGCCTGGCATTATGTCAAGCCTTCCAGCAACCCCACGAGGTATGGATTATCCCTGGATCAGTCAAGCTCAGAGAGGCTACGTGACCTGCCCAAGGACACAGAGCTAGGCCCAGAGTCACATCCAGATGCCCGCTTCCAATGTCCTTTCCTTGCCCCCTCCCAAGGGGAGGGAAGGGGAGACTGCAGGAGCCTCTGCAGAGAACCCAGAACAGGAGCCCACCCCAACCCTGACAAGCCCAGGATCCTGGTTGGCTGCTTCCAATCTGGCCTAGGAGGCAAGGGGTGGGGAGAGGAGAGATGCAGGGGGACACAGCCTCTCCCAGCATCCTACCTCTTCAGGAGCAATGCCTGTTTAACCTACTCAAGGGTGAGGGTTCTGGAAACTGGCCTGGGGCCACACAAACCAGAAGCCCTGCACGCCGTGCTACCCAGGGAGCAATGAATGATCAGGCTGCCTCCCCACCCTCCTGCCCTACTCCTCATCCCCTCTTCACTGCCCTGGAAGAGGCTGGCCTCAACTTTTCCCCACCCTGCCACCACCATCAAGATAAGCCACACTCTGTTCCATGGCTCTTCCAAAGGATTTATTGGTTGTATTTACATCTATTGCAAATAGTGAGGAGGCAGCCAGAGCCAACCCTCAGATCTCATTTCTGTTCCAGAACGTGAGGATCCTGGCAGGGACCTGAGATGCAGGATGATTCTTCTCACCCCTTCTCTCAGGGGTTCTGGGCCCAGGGGCTGCCTCCTCAGCTCAAGGCACAAACACTGTGGTTAGAGATGGGCAGGCAAGGCATGGAGTCACTCCTGGCAGGCACCAACTGGCCAGCTCACCTCCTCTCCCCTGGTCCTAACCTTTATTCCCTCCTGGTCCTACACTGGGCAGGGCCTGGCTGGTGGACACTTAAACCCCAGACCAAGGCCCTTAACTCCTGGACTATGGCCAGCCCTCCTTAGGCTAGAGTCCAAGCACCATCAGTGCCCTGGACTAGGGCAGCTTCCCTGTCCTTGAGGGCCAGGGGCAGAGAAAGCTCAACGAGAAGTGGGTGGTGTGGAAGTTGGCTAGAGACTGGCTGGGCAGAGCCAGTCTCCCTTCCCCTTCCCGGAGTTTCCCTGCCCCCATGTGGACCCGGACAGTACAGGTGGGGAGAAGTGAGGGCTGTGATGCTTCTTCCTGCTCTCCATCTTACTTCCTGCTGGCTTGGAGCAGCATGTCCCCAAGCCATGAATGAGAGCCCTTCTGGCAACCTTGGTGGCTCTGGGAATTCAGGGGCCAGGACCCCCCAACCCCAGCTGGAGACCCTAGTGGGCAGGCCATGTGGGTACACAGGGTGTGAGGCCTGGGGCCTGCCTGGAGGGAGCTGCTAGGGGAACAAGGGTGAGGGGATGGGCTCCCAGGGGATGTCTGCCTGCCCCTGCCCAGCCTATGCCAGGAGGCGGATGACCCCATTGTCTGAGCCCAGCAAGAGGTGGCGTTTGGTGGGCAGCAAGGCCAGGCTGGTAAGCGTGCCGCGGAAGTTCTCAGAGCTGAGCTTGGTGGTGGCTTGGGAGGGTGGCTCCAGCAGGGAGCAGACGCCAATCTTGTTGGCCACGGTGCCAGTGACCACCTCGCTGCCGTATAGGTCAAAGGTGTGGATGGGGTCGGATGCTGACTTGTAGTGGTGCGTGGGCTTCTGCTCCAGTTCCTTCCAGACAGTCAAGGAGTGGTCAGAGGAGGAGCTGACCAGGACACTGCCCTCCACCGCCTGCCCAGGGAGAGGACAGCCTCAGCAGGGGCCTGGGCCCTCCCATATGCCCCCATGGCCTCCCATTCCCTCCCCATCTCTCGGGGAAGACAGGCCATCCTGAGTGGGTGACAGGCTGCCACCCTCCCACATCGTATTAATGTTGGTTAATAGTAACGTAGTAAGTGTCGGTAACCCAGTCACCACTCTAACTGGAGAACTGTGAGCAGGCGCTGTGCTAGGCATTACCACATCTAATCTTCACAACCACCATGTGAGGTTGATGCTGCCTTTGTCCCCATTTTATGGGGAAAAAACTGAGGCTCAGAAAAGTTAAGTAATCATACAAAGGTCAGGGAGCCAGTAAGTGGTGGAGCCAGGATTAACACCCAGGCTGACCCCAGAGCCCTTCTGACACTTTCTTGGAAAGTCAGAATCTAGAGGCACCTGGAGTCCAGGTCTCCCTGGGGCCCTGGAGGGAGCTGGCAACAGCCTGCCCTCAGCATGGCAATGCATGTCCCTGGCCCCCACTCAAGCTGGGAGGAGAGTCCCACTTGCCTGCAGAAGTCCTCCCACAAGTAGCCGTGTTCCTCCCCTCCTGGCCCTCCCTGAGAAGCTCCCCCAGGCCTGTGATTAAGAATGGGGGGAGGGTTCCCATGGTCAGGATGGCTTCTGCCCCCACCAGGGCAGCCCAGCAGGGGCATGGACTCTGCTCAGTGGTCTGGGGGCAGTAAACAGCCTCCCAGCTGAGCTTTATTTAACCCGAACTGGGTCACGGACAGGGCCTGACCCCTGATCCTACAAGCAAGACAAATATGGACAAAAGTTACTCATTAGAACATCTCCATGAGCAGCAGGGTCAGCTCTGCCCCCTGGCTCCCGCCCCCTGGCCTGTCTCCGGCCTAGGTTCCTGCGGTGCAGCTGGCTCCTGAGCTGGCCCAGGGGAGGGCCACTCTCCCTGCCCATCAGTCCTTGATCAGATGTAGGGGAGACCAGCTCAAGCCTGTCCTGGGCACGTAAGCCCTAAGCAGAGGTGAGGGGCTGGGGCTAGGCAGTGAGGAAGGGAAGGGGACCCAGCTCATCACCTTGATCTGCAGGATGTCCCCCTCGTGGGCTGGCCAGCCTCGCAGCACTAGGCCCGTGCGGGTGTCCAGGAGCACCATGAAGCCCGAGGAGAAGCCAGCCACAACGCTACGGCCACTGGGGCTGACCGCCAAGGAGCGGACAAGGCCAGGATTCAGCCCACCGCCCAAGCGGAACTCGTGCTGCAGGCAGAGGGAGGCTGAGCTGAGGCATCACCCTCCACCCCATCCCACTCTCCCCAAGGTCTTGCTTACCATCCAAACCCACACAGCAGCAAGGCCTGAGCCTCTCATCAAGGGAAAGGAAAAGCCCAGAACCCCACGCCCATCATAGGCCAGAGTCCCATCCCTCAGGGTGTGCCGCTGGAGGTGATCTATCTCCAAAGAGAGGCTAATAAGTGCCCCAGAACAACGTCTTGGCTTTCTCTCTTTGTCTCTCTTCCCTGCCAGGTCCCTAGAGAACCAGGCCAGTGCTCAGGGAACTGGACACCCCCTGACCTGCAGGCCAGGCTTCCTGCAGTCCACAAAGCGCAGGGTAGAGTCAGAGCTGGCCATGGTGATGCTGGTATGGGGGGCAGGCATGACAGCCACAGCAGTGAGGGGCACCCGGCTGTCCAACGGCTCCACGGTGCGAAGGGTCTTCCCTGGGAAGGAAAGGCACAGTGGATCTAGGGTCCCCATAGCTGAGGGAGGAGCCCTGGCCTTCTGGTCCCTAGAATTACCCCATACCTGCCTCCCATCCCCCAGGGATCCTCAGAAAATGCTAAATGACTTTCCCACCTTCCTGATTCCATGGGTAGGCCAGGCTCCCATCCCCAGAGCAACCTCCTCTCTTCACACAGTGCCCCTGACGCAAGGCCACCTCCCTCTCTGTCCCAACTACTCCATCCCCTTCCCCCTTTAAATCACATTTCTCCCTATAATGATGCCAAAAAGTAATCAAGCAACCATCTGCCAAACATGTACTATGTGCCATACATTAAGCCAAAACCCTATGTACATTATATTCCAAATCAGTTTTTCTGATTCTCATTTTACAGATGAGAAAACTGATGCTTGCAGCAGCAAGGTGACTTGCTCAAAGTCCCTCAGCGAGTAGGTTGGCAGAGCTGATTCAAACTCAAGTCTACCAGATTCTAAGCCCTAACTGCTTGTCTGTGCAGTCTCACTGGGTCTCCCCAAACTACGTATCATTACACCCCCACCCTCAGGTCTCCTTCCCAGAGGCCCGGTGGGGCACAGGACAGCAGCAACAGAACAGGCCCCACCTGAGCCCCCTCACCTGTGAAGGGGTCCCAGACGTGCACGGCCCCGTCACAGCTCACCACGTGCTGCGGGGCCTCAAGCTGGCCCACGTAGAAGACACTCTTGCGGTGCTGGCCATAGACAAGGCGCGGGGCTGTCTCACTGGTACCATCCCCATAGTTGTACAGTGGCCAGAGGCGCACAGTACGATCCTTGCTGCCACTCAGAAAGAAGTCCTCACTGCTCAGGGGTGCCACACACTTGACAGCCCCCGAGTGGCCTGGGAAGCTCTGCAAGCGGATCTGGTGGAAGTGAAAGTGCGCGTCCTGCTGGCTCACGCCAATCTCGTACTGCCAGTACGCCAGCCAGTTCCCGCTGAGCCCGTGGGCGCTCCGTGGAAGTTCCCGCTTCAGGGCGTTGTCCTCGCTCCCGCTGCCAAGGCCTCCGCCACCCAGCCCCGAGATGGGGCCCAGTGGTCCGGGGTTCTCGGGCTGAGAGTCATTGGGGATCTGGATGCGATTCCCCACCAGGACACTCCCAAATGTCCCTGAGTGGCCGTCATCCTGGGGGCAGCCCCCACCCTGGGAGTCCCACTCAGGGCTGGTGCTGGGCATGGAGGGCTCCATGCCGGCAGGGTTGCGACTGCTTGGGCTGACGCTCTCCAAATATAGCCCTGCCAGCTCCCCAACCAGCTCATGGTTGGGGATGATTTTCCGGATGATGTCACCTGGATGGGAGTGGGAGAGGTCCACAGATCAGGAAAGATGGCAGGTGGCTGCTACCACCCACCCAAGGGCTTGGGAACCACAGAAGAGGGGGGCAAGTACTGGCTGTGCAACTCTGGGCAAGAAACTCTTCATCTTTGAGCCTCAGTTTCGTCTCCAGTAAAAGGTGCGTTCGTTCGGTCAGTGTGCACACATGAGTTTCTTCCATGTGTGTCAGGCGCCCTGCTGGGCATCAGAAATAGAACGGTGAACGAGACAGATGGTGCCCTGCCCTCCCAGAGCTTTGATTTCAGTGGAGGGATGACAATACGTCTAACCACAGGGCTGTCACCCTATTCAGGGAGATGACACGTGGAAATGCTCAGCACAGTGCCTAGCCCATAGGGGAAGCCACGTAAATGGCAGACCCTCATTTCCTCCCAGATGGCTCCTGGAGACCACCAGTACCTCAACCTGACTCCACTGCCCTCCCCAGGGACACTACAGGCCAGCTCCTGCACCTCTCCCGCTGGCTAATGTTCAGTCCTTATTTATGTGGGTCTGAGGCCAAATCGCTTTGCTCTGACCCAAAAAACTGTGCTTAAAACCCACTGCTGACTCCGGGGAAAGCGCAGAGAATAGGGCCTGTCAAGGGAAGAGACAGCCACAAAGGCTGTGCAAGGGAACGTGATGGGGCAGTACCCAACAGGCAGGAGAAGGGCACGTAGACTGTGTACGCCATCTCCAAGGTGAACACCTTCTGCAGCTCGTCCAGCAGGGTGGGGTCCACCGGCCGCTGCTGCCCATCAGAGAAGGCCACCTCTGGCAGCTGACCTTCACTGCGGCCTGCGGGACCCAGCTTCAGATCCTGTGGGCAGGAGGCCCAGGGCGTCAGCCGAGCCCATGGCCCCTGCCCAGCCCACCCCAGCCAGGCAGGTCTGCCCACCTGGTGCCGAAGCTCGTGCAGCTGAGAGAAGACTTGAAAGAAGGTGGCCACGGGCTCGCTCAGGTGCTGCTGGACCATTTCCTGTCCGATGCGCAGGCAGATGAGGGCAATGAGGCTGATGGTTTTCACACACAGGACAGTCCGGGCCTGGGCCCCACTTGGGAACCTGGAAACAGAGCTCATGAGCCCTGGCCCCCCGCTCAGTGGGACTCCACCAGAATCTATTGAAAGGTTTAAACAAAAGGAGCTCAAAGGCCAACTGATCCAAACCAGATGAGGAAACTGAGGCACAAAAAAAAGGTGTGGCTTGCTCAGGGTCACAAAGCCAGGATGCGAACCAGGACTCTGGCCCCCCAGCCTCATGTTACTTCCTCTCCCCTAAGCTCCCCAGTCCCTCCTGGGTGGCCCCCTCAGGTGAGCTGCTCTCCCTCCAGTCGGTGGGTAGGAGCCTACCCCGTGACGAGGGAAGTGAGGAAGCCAAGCACAGGCAGCAAGACCTCATGGCTGATCCGGGGCAGGATGTCCATGAGCGTGGTGTCTGACAGGTACACGATGATCTTCTGCGTCAGTGTCACCGCAGCCAGCAACCCCGCCTCCTTACGGCTGTTCAGTCGGCTGGGGCCTGGGGTGCTACCTGGGGCCACCTAAGGCCACAAGATAGATGAGGGCCGGGCTGCCCCATGGGCCCCCTGGGACCCCAGAGGCTCTGGGCCGGCCCTTAGGTCCTCAGCCTCCACACCCCTGGGCCTGCCAAATTGGTGACTGACCAGGTAGCTGATGTAAGGCAGGTACTGGTAGGTAAGGACGGGCTCCCCGTACAGGTGGGCGATGTGGAGGAGGCAGCTGAGCACAGGGCCCGAAACTATATCCCCCAGTACCGGCCTCTTCTGGTAGATGTTGCTGGCACTCAACGGGGGACTCTCGCCACTGCTCACTGTGAACTGCTGCCGAGTGGGCCCTGCCAAGGAAAGGCCAGCAGCCTTGAGTAGCAAGCAAAGGGAAGAGGGAGGTTGGGGCCCTCAGGACTGTGGAAACCGCTCTAGCTCACTGTAGTTCGGGGTCTGCCCTGTGCCCTACCCAAGGAAGGAAGGAGCTTACAGACTGGGACCCAGCACCTGACCAGGAGGTGGATTGAAGTGGGGGTGGGAAGGATCCCCTAGAGAGGGCTGAAGGAGGGGAGGGCCCGGGAGGAAGCCCTGTCTCCAGCACTGATCACAGGCCTTACCAACATAACAAGATGTCAGCAGGCGGAGCAGGTTCCGGGCCACGTGGCGAGAGGCCACTGTGGGGCCGAGCTTGGCAGACAGCCAGCGGACCATCTTGCAGGCTGTATCTGGAGAGTGGGAGCAGGCCCTGAGCTCATCAGATAACAGGGTTCCTCACTCCTCCCACCCCACCTCGCCCACTGTGGCTGCAGCTCTGCCAAGGAGCCCAGCCTAACCCTGGCTGCCCTACACGACCACCTCCATGTAGCAGTGGCAGGGGTGCCGAGGCCCTGGCCTGCGGGACTCTGGCTGTTCCTGGCGCCTCTCCTCAGGCACAACTTGCAGGAAGGTTACCCTCTCAGTGAGGCTTCCCAAGCTCCTTAGTGAGGCCTGGCTGGGCCCTGGCTACCTCCACTCTGTCCTCTCTTCCCTCAGCACTCTCAGTGGAACCATGCTGGCCTTTCACTGCTTCTCTTTTGTAATGGACCATGACAGTCTCAGAGCCTTGCACACTATTCCCTCGGCCTGGAATGCTCTTCCTGCTTCAGACCCTATCATTTTTGCCTATCTACTTCCTACTGCTACTTGAACCTCAACTGCCCCTACTTCCAAGAAAGCCTTCTCTGATCCCTGCAAACCAGATCAAAAAGCACCACTTTCCATTCCCTCCTAGCAACCCAGCTGCGTTCTCTACAGCATATTACACGTATGTAAGATTGTCTACACGGCGGAGTCTCCTCTGCTAGACATGAGCTCTGTGAAGTCAGGCCTACAACTGTGTCGCACATGGATCTGGCTCGATCCACTGCTTGATGCAGAGCAGGTGCTCAGCAAATGCTGAGGGAGACAGAGGAGTGTTTGACCAACACCTCCCAGACCTGAGGACTTACCAAGCAGGATCTTCTGCTCTTTGCCTTCAGACTGCTCAGGCAGCGGCTCCTCCTCTTCCTCCCCATCTCCCCCACTGCCACCGGCCACAACTGTCTCCATGGACAGCACTGTGTCAGACAGAGTCAGCTCAGAAGCCACGGTGACCTCGTCCTGTTCCCCCTCCTCCTCCTCCAACACCACGCAGCCTTCCTCCTCCTCCTCGTCTTCCTCTGAGCCCTCGCTTTGCTTCAAGTCCTGGCTGCTGTCACCTGACCTGAGGCTGCTCTTGTCCACAGGTGCACCCCCCTCGTCTGCAGCCCGCTCCTCGCCCAGGGAGGGTTCGCTGGCACTGCTCTTGTCACTCAGCCGGCCCAGGCTCACAGCCTCAGCCTCCTGGGGCTGCAGGGACTCAGCCACGTAGAGCCCAGCTTGGAAGTCCTCTGTCTCAGGGAGGTCGGCCTGGTCGTGGAAGCTGACGCCAGACGTGTAGTCTGGGAGCTCCAGGCCCGAGGAGGCCGAAGGCTCCCCATCCATCGGAATCTCCTCCCCAAAGGCACAGGAGCCAGGCCCAGTCCCTGGGAGCCCACTTTCCTCATCCTCGGTGGCCCCCACCAGACCCTTGCTTTCCTCCAGGGAAGCCTCCACACCAGCCAGCACCTGCAGGACGTGGGGCAGCAGGTGGACGAGAAAGGCCTGCAGGCCCAGCCGCACTATCAGCTGGGCCACAAAGCAGTCAGTGTACAGGTAGAAGCGGCCATGTAGCTGGCAGGGGCTCTCATAGGCACCAATGAGGGGCTTCAGGAGGTACTTATTGGCATTTCTGGGGCCCAGTGCCTTAGCAACAGGCTCAAATAGGTACCAGGCTGTGTACACAGCCGTGTGTTCCTCGGACATGAGTGACAGCACGAAGGGCAGCAGGATCTCCAGGCCCTCCGGGGTAATGTCATTCAGCACTGTGCCCAGTTGCTGCCACAGAGCAAACACCAGCTCCCGTCCCTGGGCCTCGTCTTCCACACGCCTCGCCTGGTACAGGAGGATGAACTTGTGCAGCGCCGGGAAGTATGGAGGGAAGGGAACCATGGAGCTGAAGGGGCTGAGGAGCTGGCCTGGGCAGGGTGGGGGCAATCCCTGGGAGACGGGCCTATACTCAAACAGGGGGTTCAGCTTGCCCCTCTCTGCTACCATGGGGCCTTCAGATCCACTCAGCTGCAGGAGTGTGTCCAGCACAGGCTGCAAAGACACAGGGACCTCCTTGGGGTGGCGTGTACAGAGCCCCCGAACGGCCTTGAAACGTACCCACAAAGGTGCATCAGGCTGCAGTGTCCGGACCCTTGTGGCAAACACCATTTCAGCCAACAGGACACCTAGTGCCTGCATGTCCCGATGGAAGAGGTCCTGCAGCTGCACAGCTGGCTGGACCTGGGGCTGCTCAGGCACCTCCAAGCAGCCCCCTAGGCCTTTGGCGAGGAAGTTGCCCATTTTCTCTAGCTCTTCTAGAGCCTGCACCGGATTGAAGCCCTCAGGAAGAAGGATCTTCCCCTCCTCGCCCTCCCCAGGCTCCGCCCCAGTGGCTTTATTCCTGCGGCCTGTTCGGGAAGCTGAGGCCACTGAGAAAGGCAGGAGGCCAGGGGAGGCTTGACTGGAGGAGCCCAGCTGGTCACCTGCTTTCCCAGCAAGGGAAATGGAATCCAGAGCTTCTGTGGCCTGCTCCAAGTCATCTTCCCCTGCCACAGGCCTGTCTCTGGTCCAGCTGGCCTCACAGGGCATGGCCTCTAAAACCAGCTGACCCACCCCATTTGGAAGCTGTCCTGGGAAGTCCTCTCGGCCTGTGGTCTCCTGGATGGTCTGGACCAATAGCCTGGGGATAAGCGGAGGCTCAGGGGCAAGGGCAGGGGCCCCAGCCAGCCGCCGGGGGTGTGGCTGATCGAAGAGCTGCACCACACCGTAGCTGGTCAGGTGAGTGTGCGCATCCACCAGGTGCAGACACACATTCTTCTCCTTTACAGCCTCCTTGCCCTGGAGTTTGTAGCCAAAGGTGAGGTCAATCCAGTGGTGCAGGTCCTGGGACACCTCACGGCTCTCCAGCAGCGCTCGGTGGGCAGCCACAAACTCTTCGCTGGAACTGCACCAGGATGGCACGTCCAGGTCAGGCATGTCAGGGTGGATGGAGCAGAAGATGGAGGGATCAGTGTAGAACTCGGGGATACACTCATCAGGGGTCCAGTTCTGCATACGCTCCATGCTAGCCGGATACTCATGGGGCTCCCATTGCGCTCGGACATGTCCACAGAGCACCGACCGGGGAGTGCGCCGAGCTTTGTACACATAGTATGTGATGTCTGAGAGCACGTCTGAGATGTGGTGAGGAACGTGAGGTGGCTCCCCGCCACCCGCACCACCTGCTACAAAAGCCTGCCGTGTCATCTCATATGTGAAGTCCAGTTGCTTATCCCCCTTGTTGAGGCGGAACTTAGATTTGCGCAGGTCTCGGAAGCGCCCGTGGGGTGTGGTAAAGTCCACCACCCAGGGCAGCACCGGGTGGTAGTTGGGATCCCCCTGCCGCCGACCTGCCAACCGATTCAGCTGCATGAGGTAGTAGAAGTTGCTGATGCGGCCGTGGACCCAATCTAACACAAGGCCCCTAAGTTCTTCCTGGCAGGTGAGAAGCCCAGGGCCCCCACCACCCTCCTCACTAGACTTCATGCCAGTTCCATCCCCTACTACAGAGGCCTCCTCATTCTCATCCTCTTTGGGCCTCTCATAAGCACTCAGGTCCAGTCGGAGCTCACTGCAAAGTTTCTCATCTACAGCGATGTGGTGCAAAGACAGGGCCCCACAGGCCAGTCCCTGGCGGTGACAGGCATCCATGGCCCTCAGCACACGGAAGAGAATGAAGAGCACCTTGGCTTGGCTGTTGGTCAGCTTGGCAGGGCTGAAGGTGACCACATCATGCAGGGAGAACTGCACATAAGGGTGTACCACATATAACATCTCTGGCGACTCCAGCAGGGCCTCAGCTCGCAAAAGACTGGGGCAGGCAGGGCTGCCCCGAGGGGGACAGGGGCCATCTCTGGCATATGACAGGCATTGAGAAGCGTCACCCACTGGCAGAAAGGGGCAACCATAGACCCTCTGCAGAGCCTGTCTTACAGAGTCCAGGGCGGGCGCAGCTGAAGGGGCAGGGCTATGACTGTAGGGCTGCCCGTAAATGTGGTATGCGTGGCGCCACAGGTTGCGATAGTTCTGGGCAGCCACCTCCTGCATGAAGCGAGTGAGGGTCTCAGGGCTGCAGGATCCCTCCTCCAAGGGCAGGCGCCCGCCCAGCGGATAGGACAATCTCTGTTTCCTCAGCCCGTGCACCTCCACGCGAGTCCAGCCCGGGGGCAGCCTCTGCACGGAGCGTTGCAGGAGAGTCCCGACTTCCGCTTCGCCCAGGCTCTCTGCCCGCGGGCAGGGTCCCAGGGGCAGCCGGCGCTCGCGGAGACTGGCCAGCCAGCGCGAGGGCACTAGGGCCACCACGTGGGTGCCCCCCGGGGCAGGAGCCAGCTGCCGGGAATCGATGTTCAGGTCCCTCTCCACGCTCCGGAGCAGCTCCTCCATGTCTGGGCTTGGGGGCGGGTACCAGCCCTCGGCCCGGGTGGTAAGAGGGACTTCCCGCCCCCAGCTCCCCTGGGCCATCTCCTCCTGGCCGCCTGGGGGCAGCGCGGGGCTGAGCCCGGCCACGGCCCTCCTCGCGATGGCTTCCGGGTGCCAGACCGGGAGGGTTGGGATGGGCGCGGGGCAGGGACTGGGGTGGAGGTGGCGGGGGAGAGCCGGCGACAGAGGAGGGGTGGGCGGGGGCGCTCTTACCCCTCCGCAGGGTCGTGCTGTCGGAGCTCGGCTGGGCAGGGGCTGCTGGACGCCAGCACCGGGCTCCACCGTGACGGGTCAGCTGACGCGGGTCACGTGATCGCCCCGGCACGGAAACAACCGCACGTGGCTCGAAAGGGCCGGGAGGGACCCCGCTTCCTGCTCGCGCCACCGCCCGCGGGCCTCGGCGCCCCCTCTCCCACAGCTCTGCTCTGGCCTGGTCTCGGCTTCACTTCCTCCAGGGGCTGAAAGGGGACCCTGTGACTTCCCCTCCCCTCCCTGCTGCCGGCACCCGCCAGATCTCGGATCTAGGGAGGCTTTTCCCAGAGATGTCAACCTTTAAGGAAAATGTTAACCGCACAACCAGTGGCCGAGCGGGCACTTTTGACATCGTGTCCCCTCAGCGCCTCCACGCCACCTTCCGAATGAAGGAGCTTTTTAATATTCCGAAGCACTTCATCAATAACATTCCATTTGGCCCTCACAACACTGTGAGGTAGGAAAGACAGTTATTATTGTTTATGTCTTACAGGTGATAACCAAGACCTGCCAAAGAGGCTTGCCTGAGTGGCAGAATGGAAACTTGAAGCTGAAGCTGGTGCCCAGATTTCTTTCTGCCCTGGAGCCCTCCCTTCTGAAAGCCCTCTCACGGATTTTTTTTTTTTTTTTAACTGAGCCATCTGAGCTAGAGAAGTGGCCCAGGCCCAGAGGCCTGGAGTTCTTGGGAGGAAATGTTCCTCAAGACTTCCTGTTAAAGAACTGTCTCTGCAGTGCCACAGAGCCCGCCAGCTGTGGTCAGAGCCTTGCAGATGCCAGTATGGCTGGGGGGAGGGTTGTGCACAGGAGAGAGAACGGAAACCAGAGAGCTGGCACCAAAATTACGTGACTCCTTCAAGGGGTCTTAGTTCTGACTCATCTGCAGGACAGAGTGTCTGCAGTGAAACCACTGGCTCTTGTTTTTTTGTTGTTGTTGTTGTTGTTTTGTCACACTCCTAGGAGAGTCTGCTTCTTGCAGGAGTTTGGTGTAGAGGTGTGAGGGTCCCATAAAAGCACTTAAGAAAAACTAAAGGCCTGATAAGAGAGAAATCAGGAATGGCTCAGCCATGATCTGATTCCATCTGTCTCCTCTTTCTCGAAGGGCAACTGGAGGCTCTGATATGCATGGTCGGATGACCTTGGGCAGTAATAACTTACAACCACCATTTATGGAGCCCTTCCCAGGAGCCAGTCACCTGCTATGCACTTTGCATACCTTGTTTTATGTAATCCTCACCATGACCCTTTTTTTTTTTGAGACAGAGTCTCACTGTGTTGTCTGGGGTAGAGTGCCGTGGTGTCAGCCTAGCTCACAGCAACCTCAAACTCCTGGGCTCAAGCAATCCTTCTGCCTCAGCCTCTGGAGTAGCTGGGACTACAGGCATGTGCCACCATGCCCGGCTAATTTTTTCTATATATTTTTAGTTGTCTGATTAATTTCTTTCTATTTTTAGTAGAGATGGGGTCTCGCTCTTGCTCAGGCTGGTTTCGAACTCCTGAGCTCAAACAGTCCGCCCGCCTTGGCCTCCCAGAGTGCTAGGATTACAGGCGTGAGCCACCGCGCCCGGCCTACCATGACCCTTTTAAGAAGATATTTTTAATGCCCATTTTAGGATGAGAAAGCTGATTGACTATCTTAGGTAACTTGCTCAAGGTCGTGTAAGAAGCTAAGAAGCATTAGACCCAGGATTCAAACCCAGGCCTATGTTATTCCAAAACCAGTGTTCTCTGTACTCCTTGGCTGTGCACTATTGTTTTTTCACCTGGGAAATGAGGTGCTCTGTGACAATTCCTCATTCCCAACTTTTATCTAAGAACCTGAAACCAGAAGGTGTGTTTTGATGGTCAGGAGGTAGTGCCCACGTCATAGTACCAATAGAACTGGGCCCATCTGGTCATGGCTCTTGTCTCAGTTTACCTAGACTGAGTAGGCACTACTCTTTCTTTCTGCAAGTCTGTGTGTACCCTGCCCTCTAGTGGTGTTGGCTTTACACTGCAGCAGTGACCTTGAGTGTACCTAACCTTACCTCTGGCAATTGTTTCCCTCCTTAGAATAGAGATGTCCTTGCAATGCTTAGTCTACTGAGATTTCTGGGGCATCAACACCTTCCTCGATCTGAGCCCTAGCACAATGGTTTTAAAACTTCAGAGGATAATTCTGATTCAGTAGTCTGGAGTGAGACCCAGGAATCTGAATTTTTAACAAGCACCCCCAGGTAATTTAGTTGCAGCAAATCTTCAGGCCGCATCTTGAGAAATAATGCTATATAACAGCTCTACTCCCAAATTTCCCTTCCCTACCCTCACAAGAGCTCCCCCTGAATTCCAACTCAAGCACCCTTGGGCTTTGGGGCCCAAATTAGACACTCCCCTTGGCCAACCTCAATATTGGGTTTCCAGGAGGTCATGTCTTATATAGTCAGAGAGGAGGCTGCAGCTGCCCCAGCAGTCAGCCCATGTTGAGTGAGGTCAGCTCTTGCTGATCTGGCGGGGAGAAAAAAAGTGGACGGAGCTAGTATTTAGTGCACCAACTGTGGGCCAGTGTGCCAGGTACCGTGCTAGGTGTTTTCAAATGTAATTATTTATTTTTTTAAATTTCAAAATATTAAGGGGCTACAAATGCTTTTGGTACATGGATAGCTTTTATAATGCTTAACTCCGGGCTGTGTTCCCATCAAACATAACTTTCTAAATCTCTACAACAAACCTTGGGTTTATTATTCACCCTATTTTGTAGATGAGGACAGTATCTTCAACAAGCTCACAGCTAGTAAAAGCTGGAATTTGAACCCAAGTTTGCCTAACTCAGTGGTTCTCAACTGGGGGAGATTTTGGCCCCCTGGGGACATCTGGTAATGTCTGGAGACACTTTTGACTGTTACACCTAGGGGAGATGAGAGCTATTGACATCTAGGGTAGAGGCCAGGGACAGAGATGAACATCCTATTATGCACAGGGCAGCCCTCACACAACAAGAAATTATCCTGCTTAAAATGTCAATAGTGCTGAAGTTGAGAAATCCTGGACTCAAAGCCTGGGCTTTTGGCTCGGGCGAGGGAAGGGGGCAGTTAGTGAGCAGAACAAAATGGAAAAGGGCCACCCCAAGGGCCTTGAGTGGGAAGGGGATGTGATTTCTACGCTCAGGATAATGGAGACCGGGGGCAGCTGATGAGACTTCTTGTTCTTCCAAGCTTGGCCAGGGCCCTGCTCAGTTTCTCCCAGACTTGCCAAGTCAGTCCTGGGACTTCACACTAAGCTTGTCCTGGAGTGACCCTGACTCCCAACTCAGGGTTGGGGCAGAATATTTACCTGGGTCTTCTTGTAGGACTTCCCCTGGCTACTGGGGCCGGTGTGTTCCACCCGCACTGCTTGAGGAGCTCCACACTAGCTCCGTTGCTGTGGGGGGTGGGCATGTGGGCAGGGTACTGCTGAAAATAAAAAATGGAGCAGGTGGCATCTGAGAACAGTTAGAAGTGGAGTGAATGGGCAAAGCCATTTAAAACTTCGTAGGATATTTCTGATTCAGTAGTCTGGAGGAATCCCCCTCAGCAGGCCCCTGTCTGGGGAGGAATAAAGCAACTTGAGCAGGGAGTAGGGGGCCGCTGGCGGTTTGGTCTTCAGCTTCAGTGTACTCTCCCCAGCGCCCATGCCTGGAGCACCCACACACCCAGCCAGCCACCACGCTCAGTCTCTCCAATACTGGCCTCCCCCCTAGACAGGGAGGGTGAGTCTGAGCTGACTGTGCTGACAGGAAATACCTCTCATTCCAAGCTTAGAAGCTCTGAAGAACTAAGGAGCAGGTGGGGGTGGGGGAACGGTCTTGGAGTGATGGGGAAGAGGAAAGATCATACAATCAAGTCCCCCATATTTGGGGTTTCATTTCCTTCCCTCACCAGCCATGGTGGGTGGATAAGGGGATGGAGGAGGGCAGGCTAGGAGGAGGATGTGGTAACAGCTGATTCGTCCCCAGAGGTCACACTTTCCAACAATCAGCTGTTACTGGGGCGGAAGGCAGGAAGTTTCCTTAAAGGCACAATGTTCTGAACACAGGCTCAGAATTCTGGAGCTCCAAGGAACCATAGCAATTACCCGGTGGAGACCGTATTTAACACAGAAGGAACTATCTCACACTCCAGGCTCATTTCTCCAGCTCGGTTACCGTCACCACCAATTTGGAGCTTATGGAAATAGTCATGCATCCCCGTTTACACGTTTCTCTTTGGTGCTGGTGGAGGAGGTGAGGTGGGCTAGGTCCTAGGCTTGCCCCTTTAAAAAAGCAGATCAGCAGCTTTTGCCAAGTCATTGGGTTCATTTCAGTTTTTGCCCATCCCCCGCACCTCTAGACTCTGATTGGCCCCTGGGGAAGGAGCAGCCTCCTCATTGGCCTCCACCTTTGAAATCTCTCTCCTAAGTAGGCCCGAGTAAGTGAAGAGCTTTGGGAGGGCGGGTCAGGATGGGGGTGGGAGCGGTTAATCAGAGGATGGGATGGCTGATCCGTTGCACTTTGGCAGGGCCCGTCCCCTAATAGATATAGACCATAAGCATTTCCTCTACCCTAAGGTGAGGACTGTCCCAATGAATCTTTTGTTAGGAAGCTACCTCTTGAGAGAGTCTGGAGCTCTTCTCCGACTGGGACAAGACATCTACAAGAAAAGGCTCCTCTGGTTAGGAAGGGCCCCCAAGGAGGGTTGGACTGGATCTCTCCGGTGAAAGCTGGGGCTGGGCGAGGTGAGCAATCCTCCCTTCCCCAGAAGCCCTCAGGAGTTCTCCTCCAACAGAAGAATCTCTGCTGCCTTGGGGGCTGATTTCCACCTTCAGTTTTGCCCACTCCTGGTATTCCGCCTGCTCCACCTTTCCTTACAGAGCTGTAACTTCCCGCGAATGGCAGCGAGTCAGTTTGGAGGTTGTCTAAAAAAGCACTCACAGTTCCAAAAAGGGCTGGAGCCCTTTAAGGACTTCACCGGGATGGACTTAGAGATCAGTTTAAAAATGCCAACTCACACAGCGCGCTGGATTCTGGGAATGAGGGT